AGGCACAAGGGTCCAGGAGGATCAGCTTCGGACACCTGGCTGTGCATCCTAAGCCACTGTGACCTGGGTCCCCAGGCACAAGTGGAGGGGCCATGAGAGGCGCACAGAGGAGGGCAGGAGAGTTCGCCAGTCAATGGCTCTTCCCCAGGAACAGCGTCCAGGGGAGACCAGGGACTCCCACCTCCGTCCCCTATCCCTCAGCGAGAGGGACGGAGGGGTGGAGTGGAAGACAAGGGCTCTCGGGGACGCCCCGCTGGACAGGAGCAGATTTGCCCTCTCTGAAGTGGGTGAAAACCTGAAGAAGTGAGGTCTTCGTCTCCATCATTGTCCCAAAGAGCACGCGGATAATGAAGCCACCTCGCGCGGTGCCCTGTGACGGTGCCGCTCTCCACCCCGGACCTCAGGCCCGCTCCGCAGGGGTGACCCTGGGCCTTGCTCAGCTGTCCCTTCCCACACAGGACAGCCGCGACCACCCGCGGGCCATTCCCTCACACGGAACTCGGTGGGCGCCAGCCTGCTGTCCTCTCCTGGGGTCTGTCCTTGGCCGCGTGGCTTTTAAACATGGTGCGTTCGTTCTTCTGAGTTCTACCTGAGAGCAGGCTGGGTTTTGACCTGTCTACAGACACGGAGGAGGGTGACTCCCCGTTCTGTGGCTGTGCATGAGGTGGTCTCACTGTCGCGTGTTCACACGGGAACGTGGAGGGTCGTGTCCAGGTCTTTCCACTGTCTTTCCCCTTCCCATCCCCCTCACTCCCCTTCATCCCTCTTTGTTTGATCCGATGGACTTTGATTCTCCCCTCTCCCCCGATTGTGAGTCAGCATCCACGTATCAGAGGGAACATTTGGCGTTTTTGTATTTGGGGATTGGCTTATTTCACTCAGCATGATCATTTCCAGTTCCATTCATTTACCTACAAATGACACAATTTCATCCTTCTTTAAGGCTGAGTAATATTCCATTGTGTATATACACCACATTTCTTTATCCATTCATCTACTGAAGGGCATCTAGGTTGGCTCCACAGTTCAGCTAATGTGAATTGTGCAGCTATAAACATTGATGTGGCTGTGAACCTGTAGTGCACTGGTTTTAAGCCCTTTGAGTATAGACTGAGGAGTGGGATAGCTGGGTCAGATGGAGGTTCCATTCCAAGCTTTCTGAGGAATCTCCACTCTGCTCTCCAGAGTGGTTGTTACATCGTCTCTTTCCATGGGGATAGATACACGCTGCACATAGAGCGCTGCATCCCTAAACCATGGGGCTGAGGCACGCACTGCTGGGTGGTGTGATTGCTGTGTGAGCACCACAGAGTGCACCTGTTCACACCTAGATGCTGCACACCTGGGCGAGCTACTCCAGCCATCGCC